AGACCTATAAATTATTCAAGTGTGGGTGAAGGTATATTTTCCTTTGTTGTCTTAACTTCCAATTCAAGATATGAGTTCCTATTTCTCAACATAAATATTTCCATTCTCAAATCGATCTCTCTATGTTCTGCTTCTTCCAAAAATACTTTACAATCATTTTCAAGTTGAGTGTTTAATAATTTTAATAGTTCATGCATTTTATTTAAATCATCAAATTCACCCAATAGATTCATGTAGTTGTTATCAAACAATGTGTGATCTTTCCTAAGGATTTCATGATCTTTTTTTAAATTTAAATATTCTAGACTCAGTTCAACATACAATTTTTTCAGTTTTCTATATGTTGTATGAGTACTATCAGAACCTTAAAATAATTCTTCATAGGATAGATCACATATCTCATCTTGGTCTAAATGATCATGATCGTCTGCCATTAAACACAAATTTGTGACTTCCTCTTCTGGTGCTATTTCTAATGAGTCTAAAGCATAGTCAGCCTAGAAAGCTCTCTACAACTTCTTCTTGCCCTTCTTAGCATTGGTTTTCTCCTCACCCTTTTCCTTGCTAGGGTTAGTTTTAAGATTAGGGCATTTAGACTTGATGTGACCAAGTTTTTTGCATTCATAACAAATCACATCATTAGAAGCTTTTGCATTTTTATGGAACTTACCCTCGTTCCTTTGTTGACCTCTCCTCTATTTCCTCTTAAGGAAACTTCTAAATTTCCTTATCATTAAGGCAATATCCTCCTCATCCTCAAGCTGAGACTGATCACTCTCTGAGTCATCCACCTTCTAAGCAATTTTTTTCTCCTTTCACTTATCACCTGCATCAATCTGTCTTTGAGTCACAGATTGGTCATAAGCAATTAATAATCCAAGAAGATTGTCAATAGAATAGGCATTTTAAGTCTTTTGATTCGGTTGTAGTAATTATCTTTACATCATAAGCAGTAGGCAAACAACGAAGAATTTTACTTACTTTTTCAGCATTCATTAATTTCCTACCTAAAGTATGCAATGAGGTAACTATCTATGTAAAGCGAGTATACATGTTATTGATTGACTCATTAGGTTTCATGCAAAAAAGTTTGTAATTATATAATAAAATTTTCAATCTAAATTGTTTCACCACATTTATTCCTTCATAAGTAATGCAAAGTCTTTCCCATATTTTCGTACCGCATTTACAAGTTGAGATATCCATATAGTCTTCAGATTTAAGAGCACAAAAAAATTGTTTAACCATGTAGTGTTCAACTATGCAAGTTCATTCTCTTCTAATGTCCGTTCATTAAAAGGAGTTTCCACTCTTATGCCTTCAACTAGTCTAGTGGGAGTAGTATAACCTTCCTGGACTAATATCTACATGCGATAGTCTAGTGATTGAAGAAAAGTATACATTCGTGTTTTCCAAAAATCGAAGGGGATGTTATCAAATAATGGAGGTCTAGTGATCGAATACTCTTTTAGTGTGTTACGGTTTCCAAATGTAGCCATGATCGTTTTTAAAAAGTAGTTATCTAAACCTTAATTTTGAACAATGGCTCTGATACCACTTGTTGATCCTCAGTAGATTGTTAAATCTTAAGCTAATGTCCCAAGGCTAACCAAGAGGGGGGGGGTGAATTAGTAATTTTATAAATTTTCTTGGTTAATTTAGAAAATCGTTTAAAAAAATTTTTCACAATATATAATTTTTTTTAAAACAATTGTTCAACCACAGAATAATTAAAGTAAATGAAGAAAAATAAAATGTAGTAAAAGTAAGAACATAAGATACCAGATTTTATAGTGGTTCGGTCCAACAAGACCTACATCCACTCCCCCGAGCCACCTTCTTCAGGTATTACACTAATCACTAGTGTCTCTCGTTTAGCCCCGACAATAAGGTAGAGAAGCCCTTATAAATTCTCTTCTACCAACTCGGTGCAGTAGAGAACCATCATCCTTTTTCACCCTCCTAGTGAAGGTATAGAACCCTGCTTCCTTTCTCGCCCTCCTAGTGATGGCAGAGTACCAAGCATCCTTTCTCACCCTCCTGGTGATGGCAGAGTACCAAGCATCCTTTCTCACTCTCCTTGGTGGCAAGAGAGTACCGAACCTTCTTTGACAATGCTCTTACAAGAGCCTTCAAGGAAGTTGGGAAGAACTTTGAAGAACAAGTAAGAGATTCTCATCGTTGGGCAACCTTGTAAATCCCCTCACAATTCCCTTTCACTAGATCTCTCGCACTTCACTCTCAAAACACTCTCCAAAATAGTCTCCTTAAGCACTCTCAAGAGAAATTCTTGGAAGATCCTTAGACAGTCAGTTTATTGGACTCCTATATAGTAAAGGAAAAGAAAAACTGTCCAAAAATTAAAAAGCTCAAGTTTGACAGACTTGGATCTTACAGTACGATAGACCTTCGTACATACGAATAGTTCAAAAAAGTCTCGTACGATGCTCTACGAACCTCATTTCATACTCTGATCAGCGTCTGTATGAACGCATATTGTATAGTACGATTAGTTAAAAAAAATGAGACTTTTAACTATACGAATGTGGACGAACTCGATTTCATACTCTGATCGGCATTTGTACAAACACTCTTCGTACAGTGCAATCAATTCAAAAAAATTTCAATTTCGTCTGTACAATCATATACAAACCCTTTTTCGTACTCTGATCGATGTTTGTACAAACCTAGTTCGTACGAGATGATCAGTTCAAATTTGGTGCATTCGTACGGACGATCTAGACAGACCAGATTTCGTACTCTAATCGGTGTCCAGGACGAACCCACATCGTATTGTACGATCAGTTAGTTAAAAAATGTACATGATCGTACGGGATGGTCTGAATGAAGCTTATTTCGTACTTTGATTAGCATCCGAGATGAACCTATTTCGTAAAGTACGAAATATACTTAGAAAATTTTCCATTCAAGCACCAATCAACTTCATTTCGGGGGAACACAGAGGACAAATCGTCCAGTACGATATGACATCGTACAGTACGATTAGTTATAAAACAAATTTTGTCTCAGTCCCCCAGTGTGTGTGTGCACGGTTATCCAATTTACAATCACACTTTCTCGAACTCAAGAAAAAAATAGACTTCACTTACAATAACCCTTAGTCTAATATGTCTTGAAGTCTTTAGCAGTCTGGAGTATGATTTTCCTTAAAAACATGTTAGTACACACAAAAATAAACTTTCCAACATATGTTAGGAGAAAGCAATAATCAAACAATAAGATTTTGTTATCATAAAAAACTCACATGATTACAAAGATAAAGTCTTGAAAATTAATTTGCAAAAATCTCAACACTAATCACATGACCTAAACTCTAGTTCATTATTTTTTGCAACAAAAAGCATGTAGAAAATAAAAAAAACATACGACCATGGAAGATAGATGTTTAAATTAGTCATTATATATAATATTATTTGAAATAAGTTTATTATGTGCATAATGAAGGTGAAATTTATCATCATATTTAATATTAATAGAAGATTAAATCATTCATTTGTGAGATATGTTTAAATTATTTAGGTTCATATATAAGATTTAGAATATAGATGAAGTCATTCATAGTTTCTATAGCCAAAAAAATAGACTAAAAAATAGCGAAGTGTCTCAAAAATGTGTGACAATAAATGAAGTCATTCATAGTTTTATAGCAAAAAAAGGACTAAAAAATAGTAAAGTGTCTCAAAAAAATTATGTGATAATAAAATAATGTTAGCACTTGAATATTGGATTTTAGAAAATTATGACTTACTAACCATTTATATGAATATGAGTATTTGGTAAAAAGAAATTGAAAAAGTCATTGATATCCAAGCTAAGCACATTTGAAAAGAACAGAATATGAAGAGTGATAGAACTAGGAAGGACGTCATTAAAATTGATTATATTTGACAAACATAGTTGTAGTACCTATTGATGTTAAGAGAGTAAAAAGTAAACAAGTGTTTGACATGTATAGTTGAGGGGAGAAGATGCACCATATGGCGGTAGATATTATTTATGTGAAAAAATTACAGAATAAAGGAGTAAACAAAAGTAGCACGAGTGGAAGTTGAGTAAAGAGACATGTAAAATTAAATTTAACTCATATAACACTCAGCGGATTCATAGTGTTTGTTGCACATAGTTGGGATTAAAAAATTGGCAAATGAGTGTGTATGCGTGAAGAGTGTGATTGATTATCTCAGCCAAAAATAGCATGTTTGAAGTTGATAAAACATTTCAAACCTATGGATTTAGGACACTGTAGGGTATAGAGTTTGCTAATGTAGATCTCTAGTGAGGTGCACAAGATCATACAAACATATGTGGATTTTGATATTATAAAATTTTAATTTTGTTAAATTATTTTACTATCGTTGAAGATAAAATACAAAGATATCTACACATATGTTAATTTAATTGTTGGTCCTAAAAATATTGCATAGAAACTTAAATAGGTACTACAACCATCCACCCGCTTGAAAGCTTTACAAAAAAATTAGAATGACTTTTTGAATTTGCAATGAAGACTCATGTGACATAAGTATTTAGCTCATTAAACCAAAGGTATTTTGCATAAATATTATAATACTCTACTAAGAAGTCACCCAATCATTGAAAGTCCTAATTATAGGTGAGGGATAATTGTACTAAAGCTTGTTAGTGTAGCTTGAATTATTTGTTAATGTTGTGTTTTAAATGAAATATTTTTCTTTTTTGCAAGACTTATTCTAATAGAATTATTCTTCTTATAGACTAGTAGTTATTTTTAGCTTGGTACTTCTTGATTAAATATTTAGTTTTTCAATTTTTTTTTTTTAGTTGAAACCCACTAGCGGGCCTACGTGTTAATTTAAAAATCGGTTACAAGGTCCTTAGAAGGATCCTCCAGCTCTCTACGCTCATACGAGCTACAATCAAAAAGAAAAATAAGTCCTACGAGCCAGTGGATCCTTTTTCTACCATTACAATATAGGCAAAATAAAAAGCTGGTCTGCAAGTCAGCAGAACCCAAAAATCGGAAGTGAAAAGTTCTCTCGTTCAGCGTACACTTCCTACAAAACAGAAAAACAAAATTTAAAGTGCACAAAAAAATTCTAACCGAGAGTAGATTGCAGTTGTGGACGATTTGGAGCACCGAAGAAAAGCACCTGCAAAAACCTCTCCAAAAAATGTTCTTAGAAGCACAATTAGAAACATAAGAAGAAACAGCAAGAACCGTGAAGAATTTCCCCATGGACAGCAGGATATCCATATTAATAAAAAAAAAACTTAGCCAAAATATCATCCGTAGCCCAGTTGTTCGCCAAAAGCATGTCCACCTTACCATTGCAGGTCTTAAAAATACCCCAGACAATCATATCATCACCGAAAATATAACAGGAAAAATAAGAAGAAACAAAAAACTCCTGAAACTCCTGAAACAGAATGCTGCCTAACACCATCTCAGGTGCGAAAACCCAGTACCAGAAAATACGCATCCAGACTAGAAAAAACTGCGCCCCAGACTCCAAAAACTTCAAATTAACCATGCCAAATATAAGGAAAACCAACTTTATCTAACTGAATCATGCCCTTAAGAGGAGAAGGCAGATTAATGACAGACAGGTTCTGAAAAATAGAACTTTGAGCCCCATACTTAGCTAACCAATCAGCACAAGCATTCCCTTCACGGTAAATATGAGAAATAAAGCAGGAGAGTTCACTCATCATTAACTTAATTTTTCTAATAGTGTAGAAATCATGAGGGTTGCCATCCTTACTCTCAGAAATAGCATTAATAATAGAAGTTGCATCAACTTCAATATAAACATGATGAAACCCCAGATTTAAGCATCTTTCAAGCCCATAACTCAAACTCAGGAGCTCAGCAGACATAACAGAGCAAACAGCCAAAGGGCCATAAAACAAATCAAGAGGATTACGAAAATGATCCCGAATAATCCCCCCAATACCCACACAATTGATCCCAACCGAAGCATCAGTATTTAACTTTACAAAGGGGAAATTGGGTTTCACCCAATTAATAATACGAACTCTCCTCACCTCAACATTAGCAGCGGCATTTAACCCCAGATAATCAGCTAAAGCATTACAATGTTTAAAATTCTTGCAAGAAATCAGATTAACAGAAATTAACTGTAACAATTTGTTCCTAATATTAGCAATAATCTGGTTTTCATCCATTTTGATCCCCTCATGCTTGGACTCATTTCTAGCTTTCCACAAATACTAAATAATCAAGATGGGTAAAAGATTAAGAATATGTCCCTTACCTTTAGTAAACCATAAAGCAAGCATATCCTGTAAATCACCATGATTAGCAGTCACATCCACCCCAGCCAAAGTGCTGAAGTGATTCCACACTTTCCGAGCAATAAAACTATTGATAAAAAATGTGATAAATACTCTCAATGTTAGCACAACACTAACATTTAGAAACAATATAAAAACCCTTGTTCCATAATCTAGTATCCACAGGCAAATACCCCTTAAGGCATCTCCAAATAAGTAAAGAATAGGAAACATGAATAGTGTTATGCCACAAAGCTTTATAAATATGATTAATCTCCTCTTTATCTCTAAGGAGCTCCCAAAGCCTTTTGAAGCTAAACTTACCATTGGCAGTAATTTTAAAAAGAATTTTATCTTGAACGTGTAATTGTAATGGGATTTTGAAAATCAAAGCAACCACCTCATAAGGGATAACCTCACGCAATCTGTCAGTATTCCACTCCCCATTAACTAAGAAAGCATTCACCTTAACATTCTCCAGAGTAACAGTATTCAAAATTCTGTCAATGGAAGCAAACCCCAACCAATCGTCCTGCCAGAAAGCAACATCCCCATTTCCAAGACCCCATTGGATGTTTAACTCGGCTACCTCTTTAATTTTACAAACCGCAGAATCAATGTTCTTGTACTGAGCATTTAATGGGTGCAAACCTTTACAATACTTAGCTAACATGAATTGAGACCAAAGACTAATATTAGAACGAAAGTTGAACCAGAGCTTATGAGAGAAACCTTTAACCATATCAGAAATAGATTTACATCCAAGAGCTCCTTCCTCATAAACACCACAAAGCTTAAACCATTTAGCCCATCTAATGCCAGAATTGTTGTAAGAGGAACCCCAGAAAAACTTGTTAATCAGAATCTCTAATTTATTACACACATTAGCAGGAGGATTTAAAGTATGAAAAATAAAGATAGGTATGGAATTTAAAACACTTTTAATTAAAGTTAACCTACCACCAAATGAGAGAAATTTAGACGGCCAATGCATGAATTTTTTTTGAAAAACAGTGAAAATATTCTCAAAGAGCATAATCTTCTTTCTACCTTTATAAAGAGGCGTGCCAAGGTATTTGATGGGAAAGTTGGCAGGATTAAACCCACAAACACATTTAATCTTGTTAGAACGGATAGTACTAATCAACTTACCAGTGATAAAATTACTTTTATCTCTGTTAATAGCAAGACCACTAGCATCCTGGAAATCATCCAAAAATTTAAACAAAATTTTCACATTTATAATAGAAGCATTAGAAAAGATAATGAAATCATCTGCAAAGCTAAGATGAGAGATAGGAAATCCACCAACAGTACGAAAATTGAGATTAGGAAACCTTCTATAAAGTTGATCCAAACCTCTAGACATATACTCCATCGCAATAATAAAAAGAGAAGGGGATAAATGATCACCTTGCCGAAGCCCATTACTGGATTTAAAAAA